ATTTTGATCTGATTTTAGCTCCTACCAGTTTCCGTCTTGCAATGTTCTGAGGCTTTTTTATTTTATTAACCAAATCTAAATTTATATTCTAAATATGTGTTGTCTAAAGCTACATTAGTATGTACGTCGGCAGAGGGGATATTAGCTTGTTTTGCAAATATCAATTCATGAGGGGTTGCCCTGGTTCCCTCGTGCGTACTGGTGTTATATGCGAACATGGAGTGTTTTAACCATTTATCCTACTCGTTATTTTTATTTATATAGTGTTTTAAATATTTTATTAATACAATATGAGATCTTTCTAGGGATCTATTTGACTAAGGATGAAACGTTGTTGTTCTTATTTGTTTTACATTATATTTTTTGGCTATTGCCTTTAAAAGTGATCTAGTAAAGTTCGCTCCCTGGTCAGTCAATATGGATCGTGGGGCCCCGAAAACATTGCAAACATTATGGACTAATCCTTCGGCAATATCTATAGACGTAGTTGTCTTTAATGGCGTTGCAATAAAATACTTAGTAAGTGCGTCTTGTATTGTAAGAATATATCTATTTCCTGATTTCGTTTCAGGGAGTTGCCCGACCATGTCCAAGGATATTTTGTCGAACGCTGCTCCCGGTGTATCAGTAAGTATCATTCGCTCTTTGGACTTTACTCTTACTAACTTCTTTAACTGACAACTTTTACAATTTTTAATAAAACCACGAATGTCCTTTTTCAAATTAGGCCAATGATATTTACGTCGAATTTTATTATACGTTTTTGTGACGCCTTTGTGCCTACTAATAGGCGAGGAGTTGCATTCGGCAAGGATGTCCTCCCGCAGTTCTAACATAGGAACTAAGATTTGTTTTAAACAGATAGTAATACAGCAATTTTCTGAATCAAACGTGTTACATAATTTCTTTTGAATTCGAGGCCATAATATGCCGTTCAAGCATTGTGTCTTAGCGATGCTAACGGATTTTAAGTTAAGCTCTCTTACTACCGAGAGCAAGGAACCAATTGCCTCGTATATCGTTTTTAATTTTGTGCTGTTTGCGATGTTTTCCTTTATAGGGATAATTGATAATTTATTTTTCCCTATGTTATTTACCTTGGCACTAGCTAAAGTTAAATCTTTTACGTGCGAAATAAGTTTTATTTGTTTTAATAGTTTAGCACCATTATCGCACGATGTGCCGTTTAAATCGGTGAATATTACAATATTATCATGCCTTAATTGTAAAGAGTATCGTGAGACTTCTACATTTCTTGTTATCATTATTATATTATTATTTATTTTTGATTGTGTATGTGGAGAGTGTAGTCGTTCATAGTCACTACAGCTTTCAACGGCAGTATTTTCGTCTTCTAGTGTTGGTGTTGCTAACCATGACGCGTTGTCGAGGTCGCCCGTGCCGTCAGCTGTTACGTCGGGGTCACTGTCCTCATTATCTGTCATTGTGTTCTTAGTTTCAAAGTGAAACATACTCTTATCAGAATCACATGTGTTTATAGGAAATACTCTTTTAGATTATGTTGGATTTCGTGATAGAGCGTCAGCGTTAGCATTTGTAGTTCCTGATTTATAAATATTATTGAACGTATACTCAGCTAATTTTAGACTCCACTTTACTAATCTTGATGTCGGGCCTTTTACCGATTTTAGCTAAACTAGTGGTTTGTGATCAGTTATAAGGGTGAACTCTCGACCGTATAAATATTACCTTAAATAGTTTGTAGCGAAAACTATTGCCAATAACTCTCTTTCAATAGTAGAATAATTCATTTCAGCTTTATTCAGAATTTGCGAGCAATAGGAGATGGGTAAATCCCTACCAACGGGGCCTTGACTCATCACGGCGCCGATTGCATAACTGGATGCGTCCGTTGTGACATTCAAAGGCAGGGAGAAATTTGGATATTGTAGAATTGGTTCCCTGCACAAGGCATCACGCAGTGAGCAAAATGCGTTTTCCTAGCTGGATTCCTATCTATATGAAACCCCTTTTTTTAGTAAATCTGTGAGAGGTTTCGCTACCTTTGAGAAAGCTGGTGTATATCTTCTATATTATCCAGCAAGACCTAAAAATTTGCAAATCGATTTAACGTTGTCGGGACGCGGAAACTCTTTTACTGCCTCTAATTGTATTGGGTCAGGCTTAACGCCGTCTTTTCCTATCATATGGCCCAAATAAATCACCTCTCCTCTGAGGAATTCACATTTATTGGGCAGCAGTTTTAGATTTGCTATACGAAGACAATGCGCGAGCTTATTAAATTTTGTTTGATGCTCACTGAGTGATCTCGCGTAAAGAACCACGTCGTCCAAATATACAAACATCTCCTCGCCTTGTAAACCGGTCAAGACATGGTCCCTTAACCTCTGAAAGGTTGCTGGAGCGTTTTTTAAACAAAATGGCATTCTATTAAATTCATAATGACCCTGCGGGGTCGAGAAAGCTGTCTTCGCGCGGTCATTTAAGTGCATTTCGATTTGATGAAATCCGGATTTCAGGTCAAAAATAGAAAAATACTTTGCTGCGCCGAGTTGGTCAAGTATCGTCGTGATATTTGGTATAGGATACGCGTCTCCGACCGTTTTTTCGTTAAGATTCCTATAATCGATCACCATCCGCCACTTTGGGTTACCCTTTAAGTCCGACTTTTTCAGCACTATCCAAATGGGTAAATTATAGGGTGAAAGAGATGGTTTAATTATGCCATCGTTGAGCAAG